AGAAGGGACTAGGGAAGGGACTAGAGGAGGAACTAGAGAAGGGACTAGGGGAGGGACTAGAGGAGGGACTAGAGGTGAGACCTTAGAAGGGACTAGAGGAGGGACTAGAGGAGGGTCTCCAGAAGAGACTAGAGAGGGGACCAGAGAAGGGACTTGAGTTAGGACTCGAGAAAGGAATAGAGAAAGGAATAGAGTGGGGACTAGAGATGGGACTTGAGATGGGACTAGGGAAGGGACTAGAGAAGGAACTTGGGAAGGGACTAGAGGCAGGCCCGCCTTAACCTGCCATCAGGCCCTGGGGCTGATAGGTTTTGTAGGCCCCCTATTTAAACAACAAATCAAAGTCATTTATAGCCTCGGCAGGCTCTGTGATCGCACTTCTCCACTCTGCTCTACGCGCGCCTGGTCCTCTCCTCCAGATGAGTGACGTATCGGGCCTCCCTCGTATATTTGTCCGGTTGCCGTTGGCTCCCCTCCACGTAGCAAGTCCTCGTCGTCCTCTCCATCTCCTCCAACATCCCTCCTGTCTGTTTTTCCTCTCCCGCTACTACATCGCTATCAGAACCAGACGGCCTACTTGGCTCCGAGGCCCCACGGCCGGCACCGCTACTGCTCGGTACAGAACTCATCTGTCCTCCTTCCTCCTCATCCTGGCCTACAGGTTTAAAACAACCTGTAAGCTTCGGCATTTTTTGTAATAGCTGCTTGTCTCGAAACTCCTTTTCCCTCAACAATTTCCTTTCCTGAGTGCCACTCTCAAACTTTTTCTTCTCAAACTTTTTCTCCTAAACAACCTTCATCTGTCACTCAATCACTCACAATTTGAATAAGTCACATGTGAAACATATTCTCATTCGCTGTTAAGTGGTGCCCACTGACTGTTACGGAGTCATTATTTTTGAGAAAAATCTCTGGAATCCATCGATCTGATTGATTAGCGGAGCAAATGATCAAAATACTACGGAGGGAAGATATTTTCGTTTGGATTACTGGTCTGGGGGAAGCTCACGTGTGTGTGTGTGTGTGTGTGTGTGTGTGTGTGTGTGTGTGTGTGTGTGTGTGTGTGTGTATACGTGTGTGTTTGTGTATTTTTGCGTTTGTGTGTATTGTGTTTGTTTCCCGGGGAAAACACTCACGAGAAACACCGGCTGTTGTTATACTTCTGTGACGTCAAGTTACTCCGTTCTCCGCTTGTAATTATGCCGTCACAAGCTTCAACGTTGTATTTATCATCTGAATTTGCCTAAACAAGTTTAATATTCTGAAAGCCAAGACTTTGTTTATTTGAAACCAGATGAAAACAAACTGTAATGGACCCTGCCGTGTTATCTATGATTACTATACGCTTACATTCATAATTTCAGCCGGAGGGAGGGGGAGTGAGTGGCGAGTGAGAGCTGTCATCTTCCCTTTACAAGCTTCAAAAATGTATTTATCGTGTGATTTTGGAAATAAAAGTTTCATATTCTGAAAGCCAAGACTTTGTTTATTTAAATGTTTTTTTAAAAACATCCGAAATAAAAAAACTTTTTTTTTTTCAACTTTTTTTATTGGCTCATGATAGGCCCCTGATCTCCGTAGCCCCCTGGGCTTCAGCCCAGGTCAGCCCGTGCATTAAGGCGGCCCTGACTAGAGGGGGAACTCGAGAAGAGACTAGAGAGGGGACCAGAGAAGGGACTATGGCAGCTGGGGCCAGAGCTGGGTCTGGAACCATGGCCGCTGGAGCCGGAACATGGGCCTGGACCATGGCTGCGGGGGCCAGAACTAGGTCTGGAACCATGGCTACTGGGGCCGGCACCATGGTTGTATGGGCCGGTTCTGGAGCCGGAAACATGGCTGTAAGGTCCGGTTCTGGAGCCGGAAACATGGCTGTAAGGTCCGGTTCTGGAGCCGGAATCATGGCTGCTGGGGCCGGCACTGGAGCCGGAACCATGGCTGCTGGGGCACGGGCTGGAATCCTGGCCCTGCGTCTCCTACAGGACCCTTGGAGACACCGTGGACCTCTACCAGTACAGTAGTCGGATCCCAGGAAAGGGTTAGAGCAGAGGTGCCCAGCACGTCGACCGCGGTCGACCGGGGGGGCTATGCTGGTAGATCGTGAGTCATTCATTAAAAAAAAAATCCAGCTCCGTTAAAATAGACAAAACAGGTTTTGATCCCTCCTCCCTTGGCCTCCCTGCCACTTAATTCAGGAGTTTACTTGATTGACAGAAAAAGCGACCTATCGCTTTCCAATCTGTTAACCCAGAATGCAAAGCGATACAAAATCAGTCAAGTGCCGGGAAAACTCAAATTAGTTAAACAGACAAACAAGAGACAAACAACAAAATGAGTGCGGGACCGAGCAAAAAGCTAAAGACAAACCACTTCCACCCAGAATGGGAGGAAGAATATTTTTTTGTGATGTCACATTCAAAGGTTATTTGCCTTATGTGTAAAGCAAGCGTCGCTCTGCCAAAGAAAGGTAACGTGGAGAGGCATTATCGGAGTGTTCACAAGGCATATGACAGCGACTTCCCTCCGAGTAGCGAGTTGAGAAAGGTCATGTATTATTGCTACACAAATATTATCTCGCAGTCTTAGTGTCGCCAACTCGTTTCTAACATGCAAAAAGACAAACAAATGCGTCTATGGTCGGTGTATTTTCGACCTTTCCAATCCAGACGAGATCTCTCTCCCGTCTGTGCGCGAGGGGGCGGGGCAGTTTACACACACGCAGCTGCTCCATGCAGCAACACACGGCGGAGATGGCGGAGAGAAGCGCTCCAATGTGTGGTTAAATGTTACCCGTCTTGAGGTGGACAATGCTCCTTGCCAAGAGTGTTTAGCATGTAAGGGCGGTAACACGAGCAATTTGTCTAAACATTTAGCAAAAGTGCACCACATTCAGACGGAGGAATGCACCGGGTTGGACTGTGTTTCTAGCAGCTCTGTAGCCCCCCCATCCACGAGTAACGTTTCCACGTCAGGTGTTATGTATGCTAGCAGCAACACACGGAGTTAACTCAAGTATACAAACATGGGTTAATGATTATTTAGAGGTAACAGAGTTACTCTTTATTTTGTTAAAAGTTTCAGCTATTCTGTTTACAGTTCTGTCATCAGATTATTTAATACGATTTGTTAAAACATTGTTGTTTCTTTTGATGTGAAATATTATTTATTTAATTTAAATAAAAAGCAATGTTAGTTTTGTAAACAATTTGTTAAGTTAATTTAATAATATATGTATTTTTGAATCAAGTATTCATCTTTATTGTCTTCATTGTTAGTTTCCACATGCCTAAAACAACCTCAAGCTAAATCTAAAAGTTGATGGCTAAATAAGAGCGTTTGAGAAATTGTGCAAGGCATACAGTAATAGTCCGAATAGTCGATTAATCGTTTCATTAATCGATAGATTAATCGATTATCAAATGAGTCGTTTGTTGCAGCCCTATTATCCCATGTATAAATAAAACGTGTTATTCAGCAACCCTTGCCATTTGGGATTTTATTTTTGGTTGGTAGACCTCGGTGAGCTGGTCATTTCAAAAGTAGCTCACCGGCCAAAAAAGTGTGGGCACCCCTGGGTTAGAGGCTTGAGAAAAGTTTCCAGGACTACTGGTAAAAAGTTGTAGCCACTCAGGCAACAAACTCCTGAGCCAGGGCTTGCGAGCAACCTCCTGGCGTGCCTCCTTCAAATCAGCCACTCTACCCCGTATAGATGAGGCGTCATCCCACGTATAAAAAATGTACTCCAGAGAGCACCCAAGACGGTCCGCCTGTAGCATCAAAAAAGCTGAATCCGTTGGGTCCATCCTGGTTGGTTGGTTCTGTATACGGTGAGTGAAGCATGCAGGACCCAAATGCAGAAAAAACTGAAAATACCTTTATTTCAAGGATATGTTATACGGATAATCAGAACACAGACAAACCAACCCTGAACACAGGAAGAGACAAGACTAAATACAGGGAGGGGTAATCACAAGACGAGAAACAGCCGGGCAGGGGAGGAGAAACACAAGGGCCACAGGTGAACACAATCAGACAACTAGACACACCAGGGAAACTAACGACAGGAGGAAAAACACAGGGAAAAGGACCAGACATTATACCAAGAGGAAAACATGACAGGGAGAACAGCAAAACACCCAAAACAAGACATACAAAACGTGACATAACACAATAATCGTAACATTGGAAGTGCAATATGATGGGCTACGCTTAAAAAAATCCCTTAAAATGTAAAAACTGAAAAAATATGAACAAGAAACAATATATTTAAACAAAGTCAATGGTATTTCTGTATGAGCATATTATTACTCTATAAAATATACAAATAAGTAGCTGGCCATTAAATGCAGTAAGTACCAAATCACTTTGATATAAGCATGAAACGTCCTGCCATTAAAGAACAAGCTGCATTGCATTTACAGTATTTAAATTACAGTTCAGTATAAAAAATAAAGCTTAAAAATAATGTTAAATGAACAAAACATCTTGTTGTCTTTTATAAAACGTTGTAGCTCTTAACTACACATTATGTGCATTTTACATTATGGCTGTTGACTTACTTTTCTAAAGTAAGTGCTTTGTGCTGGAAGTAAACAAGCTAATCAGATGACATTATGGATGATGACGTGTGCATGTACAGTGGCTCTAAGTGTTCAATCAACTCTTTGAAGGTGTTTGGTGGATGTGAAACATATTTTTTAACATTCGGATAACGTAGGGGTCGGTATGGTAACGCGATTGAGACAATTTTACTGTAGGTCATATATCATTTTGAACATGGAAAAATGTGGAAGTGTTTAGTGTTGTTGAACAACAATGGAGTGCTGCTATGATGACATATTTTTGCAGCCAACCCGGAGGTTACCATTGCAAGGTCTAAGGATAGAGGGTGTCGTTTTTCTCATACTGATTGTTACGTTCCCTTCTAAATCTAGTGGGGGTACAAAGGGAAGTAACCACACACAAGGATGACCAAGCACGACAAAAAAAGGAGAGAAAACCGATCTCTTAGTAACGCACCAGTCGTTTAATGACCAAAAAAGAAACACGGGCTCACCAGCCAATTTGCACAGAATTATACAGCATCGATTATAGCACGGAGCTCCCCTCCTATCAAATGGCAACACACAGGTCTGCACACATGCAGCCAGAGGAGGAAAAACGGAGAGCCCACTGCAGTCTTCCTCCGGGCCTATATGGAGGCCCTGATTAGGAATTCGGAGCACCTGGGGAGAGGCTGCACCTGGGGACAATCAGGCTGCACCTGGGGAATCAGAGGGAGAGAGAGAGAAACACACATACACGACCACACAAACACTACGGCACGTAACACTGATATTCTGAACAATCTGTGCTGTTGTATTTGCTGTAAAGTGTCTCTACTGTAGGCTATTTTTATTTTATGTACAACACTTTGGCTCGACCAAAAATCGTTTATAAATGTGCTATATAAATAAAACTTGATTTGATTTGATTCCTTGATTAAAAATCCAATGGGATTTCCAACTCTACACAACTTTAGGCTAATGTAATGCTATAAATGAACTACACCTGAGTTGCATGGCTGCTTGTCCCCCACCGCTAAGCTAAAGATGGCTACTGTTCCACATAATGACGTTTAGTAGTATAAATTAGTCACTTGAAGTTGTTAGCAACCACCGTTTTCATGTCACATATAAGCTTCGGATATTCCCAAGTGGGGTATTTACTGACATATTAGATTTGGTACATCAAGATGTTAACCACAGACCTTATTTCAAGCTTCTAGCCACAGCTTCCCAAAAAAAGGATTTCCCAGGATTTATGACTCATTACTAAACCACTCTATTGCGCAGAGGAATACGAAAATTAAGGCTTTAGTTCAACCATAGTAGCTATAGTCAAATGAATGAATTGTTGGTTTGGTTCATGGGAAACATATACTGCAAGAATCCTTAAAGACCACCAAGAAAATTAGAAAACAGCAGCAGTAATAGCAGTTAATAATAGTCCCTATGTTAATTTCTGAGGAAACATGGAGCCAGCAGTGATGGAGGTCAGCCCCGTCTTCTCTTCTATCCATTGGTTGTAGTTGGTCACTGTGGTGTAAACGCCGGGTCGATTCTCCTGTGCGCAGCCGTCGCCCCAGCTGATGACTCCAAACAGGAAGAGCGTGCTGCCAACCTCGCACACCAGAGGCCCCCCCGAGTCTCCCTGTGGGCGAGAGAGCAGCAGCATTAGAGGAAATCAACACATGGTTCTGTGGAAGCCTGATCGAGTTAGGACTTGTGGTAAATACCTCGCAGGCATCCTGGCTCCAGTCGGGACGTCCCGCACAAAACATGTTATCACTGAGCATGTTCCCATAATAGTTGCGACACACATCGTCGGCGATGAGCTTCACCTGAGCCTCTATGAGAAACTGAGACTTATACCACAAGCCTGAAGAAATAAACAAACTGTTAAACCCTGAACAAGTTAATGCTTGTATAATACATATAATTAGCTATAGAATAACTCATTACATTCACTTCAGTGCTGCTTCTTTAACGCCACTACATTTATCTAATTACTGTAATTACAATAAAGCTCCAGATTTTATCATGATATGATGATTTGTGTACACTATAAGTACTGTGCTTAAGAAAGAATGTTAGGTACTTTGAGTGTTGCCATTTCCTAGTACTTAATACTTTTACTCCTCTACCTCTCAGAGGCTAATGTTGTACTTTTGACTGCACTACAATTATTCGATAACTTACGTTACTTTGAAGATTCAGATTCATAATCAAAAATGTAGTCATCAAATTATGTATAATGTACAATGTTATGATCTTTCTTCAGTGAATGGAACTGAAGAAGAACTGAAAGCTAGAAGCTCAGGAGGGCTAGTTACTGGATTTTTTATGCTACTGTATGTTTTTTTTCTCACACAAGAAATACATTGAGTATAATATGGCTGTTTTTACTAATTGTACATTTAAGTTGACATGCTTACATGCTGTTTTTGTGATAATTTTATACTTCTTTATCTTTTTCAATTAGAACTACAGGACCTATTTTATATGGGTTGAAGTATGTTCCCATACTTTTGGCCATATTCTTATAGACTTGCAATAGTTAAGTTGAGTTAAGTTCATTTGAGTTACGTTTATTTGAGTTGGGTTAAGTTCAGTTAATTTGAGTTAAGTTAAGTAGAATTCATTTGAGTTGAGTTTAGTTCATTTGAGTTGAGTTATTTTAGCGTATAGTTTGCTGATAATATTATGTCAACAATTTGAGCAAGACCCTTTGGTTTTTGAAAACTAACACAGTGTATATTCACTTTAGACACAATAACAGTATTCAGAAGACTTTCTCACCAAATTTCTCTTTCCCATATCCAGCGATCTCACAGGAGACTCCAGGCTGGAGGTTCTGCTGAGGCGGCGGCAGACACACGCTCTTCACTGAGCTGCTCTCCTCTGCACACTGCCCACTCCTGGCCCTCAGCTTCAGCAGAGCTGCAGGACATTCATCAAAGAGTCACTGCCTGTTTAACATTACAGAATCAACAGGGAAGCCTCTATAGACAAGCTCATACCGATGTCGTTGTTAAAACTCTCTCCATTTTGGACAAACCCGTCATGGAGGATGATTTCCTCCACCCTGAATGTTTGCTCCACTGTCGGGTCGCTCTCATTCATCATATTTTTCCCCAGGATGACAGAGAAGCGCCTCGCTTTGGTTAGGGAGCTGAAAAGTCACAGGAAAGTCAAGTCAACCTGCTGTCAGAAGTTCCCACAGCCGTCTAACAATCTGAAGGTTGCGGATTCGATCCCGGCCCATGCAGTCCAGATTATCCTGTATATCTTAACCCTTAATGGCTCCTGATGGTGTGGAGTGTGTGCAAATGTCGTTAAGTGGGTGGCACCTCATATATTAATGTGTGTGAACGGGCAAATGAGGAGTTGTAAAGACCAGAAAAACACTATATAAATGCAGTCCATTTACCACTTTAAAAGTACTAGCACCACTCTGTGAAAATACTCCAATAAAAGTAAACACATTCAAAACCATGCTAACTAGAAGTAAAAGTAAGTTATATCCGTATAATTAGTCATTGTGCTGTAAAAGTTTCCTGTCAGAGTTTTGTGATTTTAAATAATGTTTTCGGATTAATATTACTGCTGCATTAATTATAATTTATTTCATTTTAAAATGTTGTGCAAAATGCCTTGTTAACATGCTGCTGTGATGAAGACATTTCCCAAATTTGGATCAATAAAGTACATTCAAATCTAAATCCAAATTGAGTTTTTCTAGAATAAGAAGTACAAATATTTTCTTAACACTTAAACGAACACAATTAAATATACCGAGATACATGGCTTGACTGGAAAGGAAGGCAATGTAGAAGTACCTTAAGTTGTCAGACAAATATCAGGACTAAAAAGTACAACATTGCTCTCAAATGTAGAAAATGTAGTGAAATATAATGTAGAATAACATGGAATAAAGAACAAGTACCTTGGAATTGTTCTTACATTGAAAAAACTGAAACAATAACTGTATTAGGTTAGTTGAAAGCAATAATATTAAGTTTAAATAAGAAATATAAGGTTCAACTTAAAGGGGACCTATCATGCAAAATGCACTTTTGTACGTCTTTTATACATGAATATGTGTCCCCGTTGTTCCAGGGAACTCACCAAGTGTCAGAAAACACAACCCTCTCTCTTTTCCTCCTTAGCCAAATCTCTAAAAACAGGGCTGCAACGGAGCTGATTATTATTTGAATTTTTCTGACGTCAGAAAAGGGCTGCTCCGCCTATATGGGCAACTCTCCACCTATCAGGGGAATGAGAGACCGCTGGAAAGCGCTGGAGACGCTGTAGTACATATGCCAGGCCTGTAAGTGGCGCTGTAGTCTGCCACAAACGCAGAATCAGCCCTTGCAACAACAGCGCTGGAAAAGAGCAAATAGAGCGAAATGAGGCATGGATAAAATGCATGATCTGTTTGGTGTTTTGAAAAAAAAACTTCATAGACATGTTTTATATAGGTATGGCCCTATAATATATGTTTCAAATATAGCATGATAGGTCCACTTTAACATTATTGCTTTAAACTAAACTAATACAGTTATGTGAAATCTGTTGACATAATACATTAAATTAAAGTCTGTATTTTCTCTGTAAGTAAAGTACTCGATTACATGTACTCAGTTACTCTCAGGCACCTGCTGTGGTTACAGTTAGTGATGTCACTTCCTACCCGTCGGGGAAGCAGTGAGCAGCTGTGAGCACCCAGCAGGCTGAGATCAGACTCCCCCCGCAGCGGAAAACCTTCTCCTTGGATTTGCTGCGCCAATATATGGCAGCATAACCACGGGTGGGATTCCACGGTGGCAAACTGTTCCTCCACGATCTTCGTCTGCTTTCTCCTGGAGCGCTGGCCACATGTGGACTCTGCAGCTTGGGGGGGGGGGGGGGGGGGGGGGGGGGGGGGGGGGGGGGGGGGGGTGGGGGGGTGACACAGAGGTGAAACAGTGGAAGAGTATACCATGGGGATGATTCAGCGAGTGCAGTAAAGGAGGGGGTTTCCTGGCTCAGGTTCCATTGGGTGCAGACGGGCGTGGCTTGGGACCTAGAAGATTAAAGGTGTTTAACACGAAGGAACATGGACAGTTGGTTTGGATTTTATTGGAGGACTAACGAGAGGGGGTGGACTCTACTTGAGTCAGAGCTAACAGCGGGGGGACAGGCACAGTACTCCCACACCAGCTGCAGGTTCTTCCACACAAAACACCACGGACGCCGCTTGTAGTGCAGATTCCTGGAAAACAACAACATATATTTACATGGATATTTCAGTTACTAAATGCATCCCTACTGTCAACCTAATTGTTGGAATTACTGAAGGGATTTCTTTAATCGCTTCCTATTATCTTTTTAACCCTGGCCCCTGACCAGCAGCCATATAGCTTTCTTTGTGTTTCGGTCGGTCTACTCATGCTCCCCCACCTTTTTGAAGTTCGAGCACTTCAACTTAAATATTACAGAGAGATAGTAAGGATATCAAACCACATTCTCAGGCAGGATTTTGTGATATAGTAGATTTGACCTCCTAGTATCTATATGCTCGTTTGCTGTTGATATAATTGTAGGTGTTTAGCAAACATGTTGTTGGCTAATATCTGTTTAATATTCTTTAGTTGATGTATTTTTGTTACAGTGATTTTCATTTTCTGTTCATTTCAAAATGTAAAGTTCAGTTCTCTAACATCATGTGTTTGCAGTCAACAACCTTTGTCTTTCTTCCTCCTCTCAGTAACAACTCTTTTTTAATAAACACATCTTAAAATACTTTGATGTTACACAAACATATTTTCTGAGTTAGTGGAAACAATATCTTAGAAAACTGTAATTTATAATCAAATATTTTTTGTTGTATACATTCTTTTTGTGTTCAGTTGAATTTTTCACTTTTTCTGTATTTTACTTTTACTTGTCATGTTCATTTCTTTGACACACCTTATCTGGTTTTACTAGAACTAATAATGACAAAAAGTCCCAAAACTGGTGGCCAACCCACTATAGTACCCATAAGACTATTAAACACCTGCACTTTTGAAAGAACATCCATAAACATTCATCTGTTTGCATCTTGCTAATTGTTTATGTACTTGTATATAGACTCTTCTTGTACTATTTCTATTTTTATTTGTATTAACTTGCACTATTTGATCTGTTTATTTGTTCTATGTCCTATATGTTGCACTGTTGGAGGAGCCTGTGAACTAAGTTTTTCCTTGACATATCTACACTGTAGCTAATGTACAATGACAATAAAGCTTTGAATCTTGAATCGTATGTCCCACCAAAACGATCTTATTGTTCAGGCTGTATATATAGCTTCAGAGTGGTGTCACCCTACCTGCAGTAGTTGTGCCTCCCTGACTTGAGATCTATTGACAGGTAGAGCTCCCTGGTGTCTGAATCCCACTCCTCACATGTGCGTCCTCTCTTTGATTTGGCCATGGTTCCTCTGTAGTACAGACCCACCCCCTCGAAGCACTGACCGGCTTTCACTACAGAAACAGCAGGGGGTTTGATTTAATAAATGATATCAAAAGTGAATGCAATTTGGTTTGTTACTTTAGATCTGACCTTTTTCACAGTGTCTCCCCTCAAAACCTTCGGCACACGAACAGAACATGTGTTCACCAGAAGTCAGGGATGGGACAGAGCTGCCTCCATTAAGACAGATCCTACCTGTAAGACAAATCACATTTAGAACTTATTAGGTTTCACGCTTCAGTGTATTGTTGCACACCATAAACTAAGAAAAACTAAATGTAATTTCTTTTAAATAGTGGAAAAAAGAGAAAAGGCTAAATAGAAGAAAATTATATATTAAAAACACATAAAATCGTTTTTAGAAAGACCTACTCAAATATTTACAAATTATTTGAATTAAACTGAAATAGCTGTGCAGTTTGAATAATACACTTCAATACAGCCTGGTTTTAATGTACTGTACATAACCAGAGTGTGAATTCTCACCTGCACTTTCAAAGGAGGAGGAAGACGAAGACGAAGAGGACGATGTTGAGTGGGAGGAAGAAAAGAATCCCTAAACAGTACCAACATTTGATTAATTATTATAAATATAATTACAATACAATTTTCAAAAGAATCACAGTAGAAATGTCCTTACTGCCTCAGCTGCTGACAGGGCTGCCAGGGTGCAAATTAAAACAAAGTTTCTCATCGTTGCCATGTTTGGAATCCCAGCAGCATGAGCGTGCCTGCAGAAAGTGTGTGCACCTCCTCGGGGGTAACGTGTTTTGTCTACTGTGTGCAGGGAGGAGGGGAGGCTCCTGATTGGCTGAGGAACTTTCCCACAGACTGGCACACTTGATATGATGTGAAGTAATATCTGTTTGTAGGGTGAGTGGGTGAGTTAAGGCTGTTTAGCTACATGAGTATTTCCCAGGAAGCATATCAATAACTTTGGTATGCTGGGACGTCATTTCGGACATGCAGCTGTTTGAGTGGAGAATTTGACAAATTCTGGATGCATATGAGTCATAAAATAATACTGTGAAACATGTTGTGAGGTTCTGGACATCATAAACCTGCAGGATGTTGGTGCCCACGCCCTGTTAGACCTCACCAGTGACACCACAACCGCACCAGTTGGGAAACTGATACTGATATTAAGTAATAAGACCACAGGAAGGAGGAATGGTTTCTGTTCTGAAAGGGTGTGTATTCATAAGTCATAATGTCTCTGTAATACAGTGTTAAATCAAGACCACAGTCAAGTTTACCGTCATTTATTTTAAAATGCAATAAAATGCATCTGTCTCTCTCATCACTATGTAAGAATAAATAAGAGGCAACAGAATTATTAAGGAATACACGGAAAGCACGAATAATGTGTGTACATTGAGATTAACCATTAAAATGATATAAACATGAAGTCATGAACACTAACCCAGACATCGTCTAACTTGAACCTAAGACACTTGTAGCCTGTCTCTGCATTCCCCTTATTCCACACTAAGGGGAATGTCAACACAGACACCTGTCAACCCGCACTCTGCTGTTATATATCGTATAAGGCTTCGCCCTCTAAGGCTATCGCTATTGGGTAATCCCACTGCGCATGCGCAGCACTGACATACTTAATCCACGCCCACCTATGACGTGGGCCCCACCTACGGACTCACTTCCGTATAAATAGGAAGTAGGCCCTACAATCTGCTCCCACTTTTCTTCAGCACTCCGTTGCAGAAGCACTGTCAGGCACAAGCTCTTTTCAGAGCTGTTTACTAGAAAGCAAACATTCCTCCTAAAAGCTTTGTTTCTGGTAATAAAATGGAGACCGGGCAGGTAAATCAAGGCTGCGTTAGGGATTGCCTTTCATGCGGGTCGGGCTACATTATGAGCTTTGACAGGCACTCACAGTGTGAGTGCCGAACGCGGCTCTCACTCCCGGGTTGTCATGCTCATATTGTGCCCGTCAGGGACGTGCACAGGTACGGGCTAATGTTGCCCGGGCAACGGCCCGTTTGCCATTTTTGTCTGACCTGCCCCTCTGGAGAGAGCGAGAGGTTTTTTTTTTTTTTTTTCTGTTGTAGCCGAATAAACATGATAAGCCCACAATTAGTATCAATCAATCAATCAATCAATGTTTATTTATATAGCCCAATATCACAAATGTTACATTTGTCTCAGTGGACTTTACAGTTTGTACAAAATATCAGTATGACAATACGACACCCTCTGTCCTTAGACCCTCACATCGTACAAGGAAAAACTTCCGAAGAAAACCCACAGTTTAAAGGGAAAAATGGGAGAAACCTCAGGGAGAGCAACAGAGGAGGGATCCCTCTCCCAGGACGGACAGACGTGCAATAGATGCCGTGTCTAAATTGAAAAGATAATACATTTGCAACATAGGTAGTCCAAATGTTTGGAAAAGCATGTGTGTATTTTATTTTTATTTTATTTATCCTTTATTTATCCAGGAATGTCCCATTGAGATACAAGATCTCTTCTTCCAGGGAGTCCTGACCAACACGGCACACAACAAGTTTCAACATAAAACAAGGGCATTAAACAAAAAACATACAATTCAAATATAAATACAGAAGGCCATTTGTGCAGTGGCAAGAAGCATAATCACATCAGCAATAGCATCAGGTAAAACAGTTACATGTTTCATGAAGGGCTAATCGTAGCATACCTTTAAAAGCATTTACAGTAGGAAGTGCCTCTCGACAAAGTTTTACTTGCAGCGTATTCCATAAAAAGGGAGCATAGTGGGAGAATGCAGTTTTACCAAGCTCTGACTGCATCAAAGGAACATTTAAAAGCATCCCATTTGCTGCTCGTCTGGTATTAAAAAAGCAAGTATAAAAGGACAGAAGTCTGGAGATATATAAGGGCAGCTTACCTAGCAATGACTTAAGGATAAAAATCAACATGTGTGATTGTCTTCTTTGGTACAGAGAGGACCATCCTAGGGATTGATACAAAGTGCAGTGGTGGGTGCGAGAGCCTGTACCCGTTACAAAACGTATAGCAGTATGGTACGCAGAATCCAGCTTTTTAAGCAGGGAGGAAGGAGCATGCATATAGATCACATCGCCATAGTCTAATACAGACAGAAAGGAACTCTGCACAATTCTCTTCCTGGCTTCAGACGGGAAACATTTCTTTAAACGGAAGAAAAAGCCCAGTTTAGGTCTAAGTTTTCTCAGTAGGTTCCCAATATGAACATCAAAGGCCATCTTTTCATCAATCCATATGCCCAGATATTTGTAGGATGCTACTTTGTCAAGGCATGTCCCTTCCAGTGTCAGAATCGGAGGGACAGCTGTATTAGCTCGAGAGCGAGAGAAGGTCATGTACTTGGTCTTTTTTGCATTAAGGACTAGTCTTAGCCTTAGCAAGGAGTGTTGCAGTGTATTAAAAGCATCCTGTAGAAGCTCTATGGCCTGGGTTAAAGAGGAAGCCACTGTGTAAACAACTGTATCATCGGCGTATAAATGAAACCGTGCTGGGTTTATCCCATTTCCTAGTTCATTTATAAAGATGGAGAATAAGACAGGGGCCAAAATAGAACCTTGTGGAAGACCTTTGTTTACAGTAAGAGCAGCTGAGGTATAATCTTCTACTGAGACACACTGAGTTCTTTCAGATAGATAGTTATAATAGGAAGATGAATCCACGAGGATATCCATCCAGGACCTATGATCCAGGACCACAGCCACGACTCAAGATCCAGGACAGAGGAGCGCAGGATCATCCATGACTCCGGATCCCGGCGTATATAGACACCAAAAAGAAAGACATTTGGGGAAGCTGGGTTAATCGGAACATGAAAGTACACAAGTATAGACAGAGAGAAGGAAGAAGTAAGATGTCCCCCGACAAACTAAGCCTATATCAGCAAAACTAGGGGCTGAATCTAATCAGCCCTAACTATAAGCTTTATCAAAAAGGAAGGTCTTAAGCGCACTCTTAAAAACGGATAGGGTGTCTGCCGCCCGAACACAAACTGGAAGCTGATTCCACAAATGTGGAGCTTGATAAGAAAAGGCTCTTAAGACGTTTAAGTATTGTAGGGTCTCGCTGCGGGAAACACACCGGAAGTCAGCGCTGTCATCTGCCCCCAGTAACGTGACTTTGTTTAAAATCTGACGGCTGGAAGAAAGGAAAGCCCTCCGAGTCCGGCCTCATATGGCTATGGTGATCATACCAAATGCCCGCCTGGCTTTGGTGGCCAATCCCCGGGTCAATCTGTCCCCGTAGGCCTATGCTTTTAAGACCACCTCTAGTGTCGGATTTTGGAAAATTGATTTTGAGTTTTCTCATGGCAGTTAGACTAGGGGACAAACCAGGGGACTTTACTTCCTCTTGACACCGTCGGTTATTTACAAAAAAACACCTAAATATACTTGTTATTGCGCTTCTGTCTTTCTGTGTCTTTTCATCTGTAAACTCCCTCACCGCTCGCTCTCTTTTCTTGATCGCCCTCTCACGGAGAACACTTCACTGTCCCGCTTCATCGTAGGATTTCTGCCATGTCTCTACTTCTACCACAGTTTGACCATCTCTGTTATTAAGTGATGGAATACTAGATAAATAAGTAATTAGATACCTTACCGTTACTGCGCTCATAAAGAATGATAAGAATAAGAATAATGCGTATTGAACTGGTTTCATTCATGAAATTAAGTGAGAATTAAGTGAGTTTATTTAAGGTAATTAGTTAGAAGCCCTATTTTATCAGTATGTCTGCACAGCAGTTTCAATGGTCAAACTACATTAAAACAGAATTGTCCCCATTCTTTCTTTAATAGTTACTAACATTATATATTTGTAATGAGATATGGACCGCACAACAAAAGATATCCCTGGTTTTCATTTTAAAAATCAAGTCACTGAATGCAAGTAGTTGCCTTAGCTTATTTTGTTATGAGATGATGATGTGAATTACTGTTCAAATTAGTTAATGTAATAATTGTTTGGTTATTTTATGCATAGCCGAATGTTACATTTCTGTGCTTAAAGGAATGCTCCACTCATTAGATAATTCATCAAAACTTCCGTATTTAGTGAAACATTATGTTTAAACCATACCCTGAAGAAATCAGCGATATTCCCCGGTAAATAATGATTTTATAGCTCTTTTTTTTATCAAAACCTGTATATTCCGTCAGGCCGCTGCCATTTTGCCCATTTTCAGTAGTCACGTGATGGTCGTGACGTCATCCATGCGTTCACTTTGTAAACACCATATACAGTCTATGGTAAACACACGAAAACATGGCGAAGTTTTGAGCAATATGAAGAGATTGGAAGGGGGAATTCAGCCATACAGGTTCGAGCCTACTTAGTACTACTTAGTAGACACAATGATTTTGATTACTAGATATGTATGCATGTAGTACCACCCTTGCTAGCGATTCCCTCTCTAGTTTAGCATACTCAGCCTCGTTGTCCCTGGCCCTAGAACCACGATTTTATGGGGCCGGAAAAACTGGGGGGAAATACCCACTAGCCGGTACTACGCTATATGGAAAGGCCACCAAAAACTGGCCTGGCCTGGACGATAAAGGACGTTTAAACGGGGCTACCCGCTGCAATGGAAATGCGCCATAACATACCTTATTCGTACTCCGAGCACTACTTCTGGTCCTCCGTCGCTTCACACTTGCAGAGGGCGATTTCTCAACTGGCCGAACTGGTGTCCTGGTCGGTGATGACACCAGAAAGACCGATGGTAC